TATCTATCTATCTATCTATCTATCTATCTATCTATCTATCTATCTATCTATCCCTCCCTCCCTCCCTCCCTCCATCCTTCCATCCATCTATCTAGATATACATATACATATACAAACATCTGTGTGTGTGTGTTCCAGTCTAACTCTTGAATGCCTCGAGCAATTTCAACCAAACTTGACTTATCCTCTGTAGAAAAATATTGTGTGGGTAACACCCTCTAATGCCCCTGAGGAGTGTATGTTCTGGTAAGATACAGCCTGTTGTGCCTTAAAATGGCTTCTACTGTGCTGTCATAAAATGGCTTCTGTTGTGCAGTGCAGTGGAGTTGCCATGGTAATGGCTTCACAGTACTGCACAAGGGGGCTCCCACTGGTAAGGGGGAAAATCCAGCATTAGAAATTACGTTTGGTCTGGACATTTCCCCCCTAAAAATAAATACCCAGGCAATGCTGGGTTATTGGCTAGTGCTTTATAAAATTTCCCAAATTTCAATTCCATTGGAGTGATGGATCCTAGAATATGAACACATTCTTTTAAGGTACCTTGTTCTAAACGTTTGGCCCTGTGATGCACCATTTTGCTCTTAAAGGGAAGAAAAAGTTTAATAGAATATAGAGAGGTTCAGAGTCCCATTTAGGATTTCCCTAGGACTTCTCGGGAATGGCAATAAGCAGACTGACCAAAAGGGAATGCTCACTAGTTAGGCACCTTGCTGAACTTGTAGGTTTTCCCCACTTATTTACCATATCAATTGGCTTACTGCTTAATCAACATTGCAGCTAAAAGTGATAGTCACACCAAGGAAAGGATCCTTTGTTTATTAATAGGTAAATTAATTTCAGGATTAATATTATTAATCCTGAAAGAAATGTTTACCTAAATAGGCTGTGCCGCCTTTGGCCAATCTCAACCTCTTTGTGTATCTGGAGGTTGACCTTGGGTGATAGGTCTGGTATTGTGTGTGTAAAGGGATTTCCACATCCTGAGTGGGTTTCTTATGGTCTTGATTGAGTTGCTGATAGTTTCCAGTTTCCTAGTGGAACACTTAATCTGTGCAGCCCAAATGACAGTACGAGCATAAAAGCTTGTTTATTCTATTCAGGGATGGTTTGGTTTGGGAGTCAAAGGTAACATGGAAATCCTGCCTTATCACAGTGTAAAACAAAGGCCATTGTTCTGTGTTCTTACACCCTTAAAAGTTCACGTATTTTATATATTTTCTGAATTCTTAAATTTTATTTTATCCCTTACCTGTTTATGGGGACGTGGTGGCTCAGTGGCTAAGACGCTTAGCTGGTCTATCAGAAAGGTCAGCAGTTCGGCGGTTTGAATCCCTAGTGTTGGGTAATGGAGTGAGCTCCCATTACTTGTCCCTGCTTCTGCCAACCTAGCAGTTCAAAAGCATGTAAAATGCAAGTAGAAAAATAGGNGCTCTGCGCGCGGGCGGGGCTGCAGGAGGCTCCGCGCGTCGTCAGCCGCCCCCACCCGCCCGCCGGGGCCCCCCTGGAGGAGGCGGAGGCGGCGGGGGTCCCGGCGGGGGAGCAGCGGGAGGCGCTGCCGGCCCTCGCCCAGATCCAGGCCAAGTACGCCTACTTCCGGCCCTGCGTGCAGGTGGAGCTGGAGCACGAGGACCCCAAGAGCGCCCGCGAGGTCTTCATCCGCAGTGAGCCTGGGGGGCCTCCCGGGAGCCCCCTCCCCCGCTCTCCTCCCCCGCCCGCCCGCCCGCCCGCCCGCTCTGCCCGGCCTCTCTGCCGCCCGCAGGTTGGAAGATCGAGGAGAAGATGCTGGGGGTCCTGGGGAAGTGCCTGCCGGCCCTCGCCCACCTCCAGGCCCTCCAGTGAGTCAGCCGGCGGGAGGGGAGGGGGACGGGCGGGGGTCTCCTGCGTCTCTCTCCCTGCGGACAGCCGGACTCTCTTGCTCCCCCGCAGCCTCTGGAAGGTCGGCCTGACTGACGCCACTTTCCTGGCCCTCCTGCCCGTATTGGCCACCTGCGTCAACCTCAAGTAGGTGACCCCCACCGGGGCTGGAGGGGAAGGAAGGGGGGGGGGGGTCTGGCCGGTCAAGGGTGGCCTCTTCTCTTGCCCCGCAGGACCTTCGTCTTGGAAGGGAACCCCCTGCCCGAGCGCTCCTTTTTCAAGCTGGTTTCGGAGGAGAGCAGGTGAGGCCGGAGAGCCCCGGGACCCCTCCCCAGCCCTCCTCTGGCCCAGGACCCCGGCTGCCTGGCGCAAGAGGGCCCCCCTGTGCGGCTGCTGCTGGTCCCCTGCAGGGCCTCCCCTGAGGGCCACTCGGGAGGAGCCCAGGCTGGGGCTGGGTGGGAAGGCGGCACCCCCTCTCCCACGGCCCCCTGCCCTTTCTCCCCAGCTTGGCCCACCTGTCCCTGCGGAACAACTGCATGGACGACCAGGCGGTGCTGCTGATCGGCCAGGCGCTCTCCTCGCTCCGCAGCTCCAACAAGAACCTGGTCTCCATCAACCTGAGCTACAACCACATCACGGACGTCGGGGCCACCCACCTCGCCAATGTGAGGCCGCTGGGAACGGTCTCCCGGGCTCTGCTTGGCCGGCTGCCTTCCCCATTGATGGGGGGTGGGGGGAGCTGCCCGTTGAGCCCGGCCTCAGGGGCTCCTTCCTCCATGCAGGGCCTGCGCCTCAACCGGTCCCTGCTGTCCTTGTCGTTGGCACATAACCAGATCGGGGACGAGGGAGCCCTGAAGCTGGCCGAGGTGAGTGCCGGGGGGGCCCAGGGTGGCCAGAGGGCAGCCACCAGGGGTCCCTCAGCCGGCTGCTTGCCCTGCAGGTGCTTGGCCCCTTTGCCCTCACCCACACGGAGGTGGTGGAGCGCCGGCGGCTGCTGCTGGAGAAGGAGGCCCAGGAGAGAGGGCGCCTGGTGAGCAGCTGGGGGTCCCGTCTGCGGAGAAGCTCTCCCTCTGAAGGGGGCTGGACTGGCACAGGCAAACCCCACCCCCCACCTCTGTGAATTGGGAGGGGCTGAATCGGAGGCTCCGCAGGGTCCCCCAAGAACACCTCCCCGCTTTTCCTTCCCAGCCCCCGAGACACTCGGATCCGAAAAGCGACCGTCCCACCAGCCACGTCAGCAGCACCGCCATTGACAAGCTGCAGGGCGCCAAGGGGGCCAAGTCCATGGTCAAGAAGAAGGCGAGCCATCCCAAGGACCCCGGGGGGGGGGAGCAGAGCTGGGGGAGGGGGTACCTAGAGAGCATAGAGCAGCTCCCCGGCAGGCAGAGAGACCGGCATCTGGCCTCTTCCAGGAACTCACCAAAAAGGAGGAGAAGGGCCCAGTGGGCGGAGCGGCTCCCGCACAGCCACCGGCGGCACCAGCAGCCCAGGCCAAGAAGGAGGATGCCAAGCAGTCCAAGAAAGGTTCTGGCTGGGCCGCCTTGACCCCCCCTCCCTCCCTCCCTCCCTCCCCAGGCCTCGGAGGCCTCCCCCACTGAGCTCCCCTTGTCTCCCGCAGCCGTTCCCCCGGTGGACCCCAAGGCGAAGGGGGCCAAGGGGGTGAAGCTGGGCTCCAAGGACAAGCGCTCCCAGGTCCTGGAAGTGGAGGTGAGCCCCTCCCCCCCTCCAGCTCCGGCTGAGCGCAGCACGGATGGCGGAGCCTCCGCCTGCCCGCCAGAGCCAAGGCCGGCCGTCCTCTGCCAAGCGCCTCCCCTGGCCAGACTCCCGGGGGACTGTGGAGGGGGGAGGGCAGCCGTACCCCGCCTCTCCTCCCAACTCCTGTACCTGCCTGGCTTGCCCCCCCCCTCCCCTGCAGCAGATCCTGGAGCCCACCGAGATGTTGAACCCGCTGCTGGAACAAGCCGAGCACCGCGACGGGCAGGTCTTCCTCCATGGCAACCGCGTTCTCATCTACCTGAACCTCATGCGTAGGTTGGGGAGGGGCTGGGGGGGGGGCTCCAAGGTGGAGGAAGGACCCATTCCCCCCCCCCTCCTTGCCCCCTCAGGCAACAACATCTCGGAGAACGGCCTGAAGGGCTTCCTGGCCACGGTGGAGTACCAGGTCAGCCGCATCCTCCCTGGGGCAAAGGGGCCCACCGGCCTCCTGCGTCTCTCCCTGGCGGTGAGTCCCTCCCTGCCAGTCCAAGGGGGTGGGCAGCCCCCCGGAGTCCTTGGCCTCATGGCCCCCCACCCTTTTTTTGACCCCCCCCCTCCAGAAAAACACCTTCCCGGCTGAGAGCAAGACCTACAGCAGGATCCAGGAGCTCATGGGCCCCCGAGACCCCCTGCCCAGGGCCAGGACAGAGGAGGAGCAGCTGGCCGCTGCCCTGTGAGCCTCTCCCCGAGGATGCTGCACCCAGAAGCTCCCAGCCAAGCCCCCTGGGCAGAGCCCCCAGGATGGCACCGGAGGGCAGAGAAGCCCCTTCCTCACTCGGAGGCTGGAAGGACGGAGGCCTCCCTTCCTCCCATTAAAAGTTTTCCTTCTGCCTAAAAAGTTCCGCCTGGGGAAAAAGGCCTGTTAATGCTGGTGGGGCCAGAGGGGCTTCCAGCTCAGCCATGTGCGCCCCCCCCCCACTCTGGTTGGGTGGCCCAGGACCAGGGGTGGGCGCAGGCCTTCCAGCAGCCGGGACGGACCCTCCCTTCACAGCCCACCGCTCTGCTTTTCCAAAGACGTCCGGTGGCCAAATAGCAGTTGGGCTGCATGTCACACCAGGCCAATGTGCAAATGCTCAGAGCCCTGTGCGGGTGTCAGGCAGGCCCAGATCCCCCTCCCCACTTCAGCCGTTCCATAACCTGCCACCTTCAAAGGGAAAAGGAGGCCCCTCCTCTCTACACAGGTTGAAGGACATTTTGCTTTCTTTCTGTTGAAAAAACCTTTTAGCCTAGAATGCAATAAAATCAAACCGACCATGGGGTGAACTCCAGGGGAGGGGCCCCCTCAGTAGGGGGGGGGAGAGGGGGAGTCTTCCCGGCCCCAGAAGGGCCCGAGCCTTCAGCCAAGAGCCTGGGGAGGAGGCATGGAGACAAGTGAGAAAGGAGCCACAGGGAACAACCGTCTATCGTATTTACAAAACCTCAATGCACATACATACATATTTATACCCCCTGGGGAGGAGAAGGTCTGGGGGCTGCAGGGCCTCCTGGTGAGACTCTCCTCCCCACGGAGAGAAGATGTTAAAGGGAAACAAAAGTGCAATTGTACAGAATATACTCCCGCTGTCCTCTGCAGGGCGTGCGTGTATCTACACGTCTCTCGGGCACACCCAAATGTGCAACCGCTCCATCCATCTAGGGGACAAAACGAAGGGCTGGACCCCAAAGTCAGCCGGCGGGGGGGACCGGGGCTCCTTAACGTTTCGGGGGAAAGAGCGGAAAGTCTGCCTTCGCTCGCGTTGGGGAAGCCTCGGGATGTCTCCACGGAACAGAAGCCGACGCCTGTCCTTTCCCACCAGGCGGCGTCCCGCTTTCCTCCGCTTGCTCCTTGGTTTCGCCATTTTTCACCCTGGCCGCTCCCGGTCCCATCCATGCCCCCCCCCCCCGCCTCTCCAGCACAGGCCGGGTGGGAGGACGAAGGAGGCATCGCCTGGAGGTGCCGTTTCCTTCCTTCCTTCCTTGGCGGAGGCCCTCCTGCCCTACAGGGACACTTCCTGGGAGCCGTCTTCGGGCAGGGCGAGAGAGAGCCCGTTCACATCTGCAGAGACATTGGCATCAGTCCCCGGGTGGACAGCGGGCGGGCATGGAGCAACGGGACCCTCCGGCCCTCGTACCAGGCTTAGCAGCCACCGGGGACTGTGGGGAGGAGGGCAGAGAGGGGTGGCTGATTCTGGACCCCCGGTGGGTGTTGGGCAACATCCGGCTTGGCTCTGGCAATGAGGCGCTTCCCTGCCCAGGCGTGGCTTCGGCGGTGCACTGGCCCTTTGGCGGCGGTTGCCGGAACAGCAGCTGCTGATAGGCTCCTTCCACGTCCTGCAAGGGGAGGAGAGAGCTGCAGAGGGGGGCAGGGGGGACCCTTCCCTGCCCTCCATCCCCTCTCCGGCCATGCCGCGTCCACTTTGCCCCCCTCACCCATCCTGGCTCACCTTCAGCTTGGTCAGCTTGAGGGTGAGTTGCTCTATTGTCCGGAAGACGGCCTCCGGCTCCCAGGTGCCCTGGCTGGGCGCAGGGAGCTCTGCTGGGCTGGGCCACCTTGCCAGGGTCTCCCTGGGTCTCTCCTGGCAGCCTGCGGGCAAAGGGACCACCGGAGGCAAGGAGGGGGCCTGGCTGAAAGCCCCCTCTGCCTCCCCGAGGCTGTGGGCACCTGCTGGGGGCTGTGTGGAGTCGGCCGGCAGGCTTAAGTAGAAAGTGTTTCCTGTGAGGAGGAGGAGGAGGGCGGCTCAGAGGGTCCTCTTTTGGGGAAGGGGCTCCTCTTCCAGTCCCTTGGGCAAAACCTCTGCGTCCCTGTCCTACGGCCCCAGCCGGAAGTGCGGGCGATGGGAGGCTTTCAGCCACCCTGCAGCTCTCAAGCCCCCCCCAGCCCAGCCAGGCCCCTCTTCCACCTGCAGAAGGCCCACGTGGGGAAAGCCCCCCCCCTGTGGGGGGTGAGGCCCTGCATAGAAGAAAGCAACCCCCCTCTTTCCATCGCCTCAATTGTGGTGGCTGTTTCCCTTTGTGTGTTTGTGCGAGTCTCCCCTGTGAGGTTGTGCGGATGGAAGAAATCAATAAAATCGCCCAGAGACTGCAGGGTGCAGACCCCTCCTCTCCCCCCCTCAAAGGCAGCCCCTCCCTCGCTCAGCCCCCCACTCAATTTCCCCCCTAAGAGGTGCACTATCTGGTGTGTGTGTGTGAGTGGGGGGGGGGGGCTTCTACTTTTGGTCTTTACCATCTGTGTTAGGGGGGGCTCCGGTGTCTTTCTCCATCAAGAGCCGAGCACTTTCACTCCCCTCCACCTCAGCTGTGGAAGAGACGCCAGGAAGGGGGAAGTGTGGGGGGAGGGGGGTTGGGGGGGGGGAGACAAGAGAGGTCACCACTGGGAATCCCAGGAGGCTCCAGCACCGTCACCCACAGGGGAGCAGCAGAGAGGCAAGCGGGGGGGGGGAGTGAAAGAGGAGGAGGGGAGCAGAGCCGGAGGGGCCTTGGGAGGGGAGGGGGTGCTCTGAAGAGTAAGTAGCTGCAGATCAAGCCAAGCTGCTAAGCCCCTCCCCAAAGGCCACCAATGGGGGGGGTTCCCAGGAGCTGCTGCCCCTCCCTTCTCTCGGGTGCCCCCTCCCCTCCCCTGCGCTTACCTTTCCGCACCACCAGGTAGCAGCTGGGAGTCTCAGGCTGCTGGTTGCCTGCCTGGACTGCAGGGGCCCCCACCTCCTCCAGGCCCTCGCCAGGCCCCGGGTGGCTTGTGGGGCCCGAGGATGGGGGCCCGCTCACACATCCCTGCTCGTCCGGCTCCAGAGGGCCAGGGAGAAGAGGCGCCTGGGGGCCCTCGGAGGGCTCCTCTTGGCTGGCCCAGCCCCAGTGCCGGTTGCGGCCGGCCCCCGAAGGGGTGGGGGTCAGGTCGTCTTCGGGCTCGGAGTCCTGGCAGGGCAGGAAGCTGTGGAGAAGGAGCCTCCGCAGGGTCTCCACTGGAGGGGCACAAGAGAGGAGGGGCCGCCTTCAGTCCCGTCCAGCCCCCCCAAGCACAGTGGGAGGCCCCGGGGGGCCCAGCCTGGCCCCCGCCTGGAGAAGGGGGCACCTACCGTCCCCCAGGGCGGATTCGGCCATGCTCTCCAAGCAGGTGGGCCTCTGAGGGGGGGCTTCTTCCAGGAGGGGCAACACAGGTGCGGTGGTGGGCGGGTTGCCTTCCTCCTCCTCCTCCTCCTCCTCTGGGTGCCCCCCCTCCAGCCGCTCAGCTGCAGAGGCTTCAGTCGGAGTGTGGTCTGGGAAGGGAGAGGGGGGAGCCTTAGAAGCAGCTGGGGGGGGGGGTGGAAGACCAGCCCCCTCCTCCCATCCAGTGGGACGAAGGGGGCAGATGCCCCTCCCTGCCTTTTGCTGCCCCCAAAGCCCCTCCCCCCGGCACCCGCTGCCTACCTGAGGCCCCTCCCTCCTCATTCTCGGTTTCACAGCTGGGGGGGCTGCTCGCTCGGTCCAGCCGGGGGGCCATCTCGGCATCTGGGAAGATGAAGCTGCGGAGAAAGAGCAGCGGTCCAATGCGGGGGACGGGAGGCCAGTCCTGGGAGGAGGGGGGGCACGAAGCCTGGCCCTCCCCTCCCTGCCCCCTCCTGCGGGACCCTCGCCCACCTGGTTGGGGCCGGCTGGTGGGGGCACAGCTGCCGGGCGTGGGGCTGCGGGGGCAGGGGGGCCGCCTGCGTGGCGCTCTTGACCGCCTCCTCCAGGAGCTCCATCCACCTGCCAGGAAAGAGCAGGGGGCTTTAGAGACCCTTGGGATGGGGGGAATGGGGAGGGGGCAGCTTCCCTTCTTCTGCCTGAGCAGAAGCACTCCCTCAGCCAGGCCGTTTCCACGGGCCAAATCCCTACCCCCCCCCCAAGGACAGCCTGCTCGGCCCCAGGGCCCCCCTGCCCCCCCTCTCCCTACGTGTTCTTCTCCAGGGAGGTGGAGGCGACCAGCTCGTAGATCTGGGGGCCCAGTTCGGAGGTGCAGATGATGAAGAGGGCGCGCTTGTCTGCGGAGGGAAGCAGAGGGCGGGGGGGCGGCTGCTCAGCACCTCCATCTCTTCCCCCCCCGTGTCTCAGAATCCCAAGGCTCTTGAGCCCCGCTGGGCAGGGGGCCGGGCTCACCGGTGGCCACGGAGCGGATGAGGACGGAGCCGAGGCGGAGGACGGGGCTGAAGGTCTGCTTGGGGTCGCAGGAGCCCAGCACCGTCCGGCTGTGGCACTTCAGCACCAGCCGCTCGTCCTGACGCTGCAGCAGCACCAGCAGGTCTCCCAGGAGCAGCACCTGCAGGTCTGGGGGGGGGGAGGGAGGCCTCTCAGCATGCCTGCCCCCCCCAGCAAAGGGGACCCCCCCCTCCCCTTCGGCCCCTACAGACCCAGAGTCTTGTCCTTGCTGATGCGCCAGAGGAGGGGACCTTCGTGGATCATCCGGCGGCCTCGCAGGTCCAGGTTCTGGGCAGGGGGGGGGCAGGAAGCGGTCAGCGTGGGGCCACCCCTCTCCTTCCCCCCTCCCTCCCTCCCCCCGCAGGCGCCGGGCTTACTTTGAACTCCGCTGCGATGGGGTTGCTGGTCCGCTCCAGGGAGGTGGCGTCCAGGCGCTTCTGGTAGGACTCCAGGCGCTGCTGGTTCTCCGCCTGCTTGACGGCCTCGTTGACGTAGCGCAGGGCCTCCCGGCACTGGTCCCGGGCCCGGCAGAGCTTCCGGCGGTCCTCGGGCTGCCCTGGGGGAGGGCCGGAGGGGAGGGGTCAGCGGAGGGGAGGGGCAGCGGGCGTCTTGGGGTGGGGGAGCGGAGGCCCACCTGAGGAGTGCTTGATGAGGCTGTCCAGCAGGAGCGGGTACTTGGTCAGCCGCTGCATCTCGGAGATGAGGAGGTCCTTCAGCTGCAGCCGGCGGCACTGCGGGTGGCTCTCGGCCTCCTGGGGAGCAGCACAAAGCGGGCTGGGTGGTGCCCCCCCCGAAACCCCCTCCCCAAGTGGACTTGGCCCCCTTGGCGCCCTGCAGTCCCAGGCGACAGGAGGGGCCCTTCAGACGGGCTGTTCCGGCTCCATCAATTTCTCCCCTGAGCACAACAACCGCCCCCCCCCGGCTCTTCTCCCCCTCCCCCCGAGAGCCCCCCACCTGCATGAACTGCTGAAACCGCGTCTCCTTCCGCTTCTTGGTCCGGATCAGCTCCAGCGCCATCGACTGGTAGGCACAGAACTCTGCAGCCACTTGCTGGAATTCCTCAAGCGCAGCCCCATCGAACTAGCAGGGAGGAGAAGGAGGAGGAGACGGGGGTCCCCATGGGGGTCCCAAAGTCCACTCCTACCCAGCCCCCAAGCCCCCCTCCCCCCCTTCGGTGGCTCACCCGCGAAAGCATCAGGTCCCCAACCTCCTTCACCACCGGCCCCTCCTCCCGCAGCTTCTTCATGGATTCCGAGAGGGAATCTGGGGAGGGAGAGAAGGCAGGGCGGACTAAGAGGAGCCAAGCCCCCCACCCCCCAGGAAAGACCCCCACACGCAAATACACCTGTCTCCGCCACCTCCCCCCCCCACTCAGTGTTAATGCTGCTGGCTGAATCCCCTCCCACTGAATTCACCCCAGTCCTGGCCCATTGGGAGCCCATCCCGTAATTCCAGGGCCCGAAGAGACCCTTCCCCACCCTGCCAGGGAAAACAGCTTCCAAACTTCCCCCGTTTGTTTCGGGGGGAGGGAGTGGGGGGGGCAGCCTTACTGTGGATCTCGATCAGCTCCGGAAGGTTGGGGAAGAGCAGCGCCAGCTCCTCCCGCGACAGCTGCCCCTCCCTCCTCAGGCGCTGGTAGAAGAGCAGGTCGAGCACGCGGAGCGTCCGCAGGTGGGAGGACTCCGTCACAAAGAGCTCTGGGGGGGGAGCGATGGGGAGCGGTCAGAGGGGGCCTCCGAGGGCCCTTCGGAGGCTCAGTCAGGGAGAGGCTCAGGGCCTGGCTGACCTCTCTCCCTACACCCAAGGGACAGACCACTCCCCAGGATTACTCTGAGGACCCCCCCCCAGTTCCCCTCCCTCACCATTGATGACCTCCTGGCGGTCGACCTCCTGCTGAGGCAGCTGGGCAGCCGCCTCCCGTCCCACCGTGTGCTGCCAGTTCTGGGAGTCCAGCTCCATTTCGAGGTCCGAGAACTGTCCCAGCTCGTCCTCCAGCAAGTGGGGCAGGAAGGCCTCCGAGCTGGAGCCCAGACTGGGGGACTCGATGCTCCTGCCAGGACGCGGAGGGGGTCAGGCCGGGCCCCGAGAGGAGGAGGACCCCCCCCTCGGCCCCAGGAACAGCTCTGCACCTCCTCCGCCTGGGAGGAGAGGGAAAGGGGAGGAAGCCAAGCAAGTCCCCCCCCCTCGCCCCCATGGGAAAAGGAGGGAGGGAAGTGACCCCCTGATCACTTCCCTCCAGGTGGGGAAATCTCTCTCGGCCCCCCCCCCAGTCGTCTCCCCACTCACCTGCGCCCCATTTTGGGAGTGTAGGGTGGGGTGGGGTTTTCCAGGGACCTGGAGAGCGGAGACGGGACAGAGTCAGCCCACCCACCCCCAACTCCCTCACCCCACCCCACCCCGGTCCCTTCGCCCGTCAGCCCCCACGCTCTGCCCTCCCTTCAGAGGGGCAACACCCGGCGGGCCTCCCCCGGGCGTGGACCCCGGGAAGATGCCACCGCCACGCGGCTCCGGCTCCCGCAAAGAGGCGCCATGTTACCGGGTGGAGATGCTGGAGGCGGAGGAGGAGGTGGACTGGTGGAGCCGAGCGGCTTCGGCGGCCGCATCCATGTCGACATCACTGCGGGAGCGGGGGACGTTCTCGGCCTTGCGCAGCCGCCTGAGCTCCTCCCGGCCCTTCAGGCTCTCCGAGCGGCCCAGCCGGACCTCGGCCCTGGAACTGGAGGGAGGGGAGGGGGGGACACGGGGATTTGACTTCAGAGGCCCCCACCCCCTCCCTCCCCACAAGGCCCCCCTTCCCACGATGGGCGAGGGGCTGGAGCAGCCGGGAGACTCGGCGCTGGGGGTCGTTAGGGAAAGAGCCCCCCCCCTCCCCCAAAGGCAGAAGGGCCGGAGCCCCTCACCCGTCCGAGTCCAGGAGGTCTTCCGGGAAGCTGCCCGTGGAGAGGCGCTGCAGGGCAGCCTCCTGGCACTCCTGGCTGTTCTCAAAATGCTGGATGATGGTCCGGACGCTGCCAGGTTTAACTGCCAAAGAGGAAGCCGTTAGGACCCCCCCTGCCTGACCGGCCCCCGGGCCTCCAGAGAGCCTGGACTGGAGGGTGGGGACTGGGGGGCTGCTCCCTGGCCCCTGTGCCCTTCAAGGGCAGGAAGGCTGCCATCTCTGCCCTCTTCTCGGCCCCTCCCTGGCCGTTCCCCTCCCCCCAGACCCAGCTTCCCAAGGGCCCCCAACTAGCCCCCCCCCATCCGCAGCCATTTTAGAAGCCCGAATGGGGAAGGCGGAGCCTGTTGCTGGTCAAAAGGGGGGGGGGGCTTGGAACAAAGTGCCCCACCCTGGCAGAATGCAGGACCTGGGAGCTACAATCATCGCCACCTTTGGGGGAAGGGATCACCCCCTCCCCAGTTGCGAAAGCGGCAGGGGGGGAAGGGGGGGAGGCAGCCAGGGTGCAGGGAGGGGGGGTGTTTACCTTCCACGGGGGACAGAGGGACATGAAATGCTGGAAAGAAAAACAGAAATGGGGGGGTCAAAAGCAAGCAGGGGAGGGGGATGAGGGGG